AACTAATAGGGTTGCAAACTCCCAGCAAAAAAAAAAAAAAAGGGAACCACCCCCCTACCCTCCACCTCATGATGCTTTATCGACATAATCAACTTTAATTTGATGCAGTGTGAAAAAAATGCACAGAAATAAATTACTTTTCAAGAATAATTAAATAGATTCAACATCTTTCTTCAACAGAATTGCAGACTGCACAGATGGTACCTTCCCAAAGGAAAAAGTACTATAGCTTACTAGGGTATATTAGACTTAACAGTTACTATACACAGTAATGGACTTCTATATATTTTACATCAGATTAAAACTTTGGGTGTAAGATTCAGATAAGTATTTATTAAAAGCTAGACATTTTAAATGAGAATAAGAAAGAAAAGTATGTCTTTGTGCCCCCTTTTCCCTGTTCATGCCCTATGGGCCCCCTGGCTAAACTTTGCTAGATCCGCCCCTGCACAGTTACCAGCCGTCAGCTAGAAAAAGATCCTGGTGTAGAAATTAATATTAAATACATTCTAACAACAGCTTATCAAGGTTAAACGAGCTGCTGTTGTTCAGCCGCTGGTTTCCTCTTTCTGGTGCAAAGTGGGCCAAAAACAAACAAGAGAGACGGACTCGCGACAGAAAAGCCGATCAGCTGATCATTAAGCAGTTTCATGATTGAAGTAGCAACAGGAGAGGGAGGGAGAGAGAAGAGCCAGTTGCTCCATATATTGGTTGTTAAGTTTAATGTGGGAATGCTTTACAAACATTCAGAGATGAACTTACACATTTGCTTTACTTCTCTCTGGGATAACTTCATCAGAGATGAAATGCTGGTTTGGTAGCGAGGCTACAAATACACACAGCCACTCTATCACGTGATGCACACTGCTCCGATGTGCTAAGGTTATGAGCTGAGTTATGCCATGTCGCAAGTTTTGTGAGGAGCTTTTTTTTTGATATCTAATGGATCGATTACATTTTTTATTTCTGGCAGATATCCGATCCAGTAATTTACGTCAGTATCGGACCGATACCGATACGTAATATCGGATCGGTCCATCTCTAGTACAGACTCATCTTAAGTTTGGCAGTAAAAATCTAAATGCTTCAGAGAAGGCTTGGGAGAAAGTGCTGTGGTCAGATGAAACCAAAATCGAGCTCTTTGGCATCAAGTAGACCTGCTGTGTTTGGAGGAAGAGAAATACTGAGCATGACCCAAAGGACATCATCCCCACACCCAAGCACAGAGGTGGATACATTATGCTTTGAGGCTGTGTACCGGGCGAGTTCACCACTTTGCCTTCAACCAAGAAACCGGAAGGATTTAGAAAGTTTCGTTCTCAGTCATATTTTGCTCGGAGATCCAATACTCATGTCACTCAGTAACATACAAATCCGTTCATGACTTTTATGTGATGTGCTTTTCCTGGATTTTTGGTTGATATTCTGTCTCTCTCTATTAAAATGAAACTGCCATAAACATGAGAGACTGCTCATCTCTATGTAAGCGAGCAAACGTACAAATTCAGCACGGGATCAAATAATTATTTCTGCCACTAAAAAATGAGTACCTTATGAGTATTTTATTTACATACAAGTTTATTTGCAATCAGCACTTTGAGGCAGTGACACAAATTAAACCACTGAAGTTCACTCCATCTAGGTCACGTGATCTGGCGCTTCAGAACATTTACTGGTAGCATGTCAGATGAGAAGGTGTTTTTTTTCTGTTCTGGACATTTTTAGTTGTTTTTCCAGGTCTGCCTGTAGATTAACACTGTGCTCCTTTCTGATGGGGGGTTGTTTGCAAACCCAAAGAGATTCTTGCAGAAGCCTGTTCTAGTCCACTTCTAGACTCCTGTAACTTCTGCCTCTGTAAGCTGGCTCCTCACTCCTCAGAAGCTTGCTCCAGATGTCTGCATCAGGTCTGCCTCTCCTCTCCTCCTCTCTGAGTTTCCTCTGTTCTTTGTTGAGTTCTCTCACTATATGATTGGTTTCCTTCTGCCTCCTGTATCTACTGGGGTCATTGACATAGTTTACTTTCTGCTTCTTCAAAACTTTTTGCTGCAGAGCAGTAGATTAATTCCTGCAGTCTCTTCAACTTTATCATGGTGGTGCCTCTGAGTGTTTCTTAGAGTTTGTGGAAGTAAAAACACCGACCTCCTCCCACAATGTGATTTGTGGGATTTTGGGTACTTGATTGTCACCCAGAGGCTGGGTTTGGCCTTCTGTGCTGCAAACTGTGGGTTTTTATCTTGGTACCGAAATGACTTAATCTGCCTCATAAAGGGTGTTATTGCACAGTCGCCTCTGCCTCCAAGAAGGGCCTTCTTCAAGTATGCTTTTCAAGCCTGTAGTAAGAGCATATACAGAATATACAGCAAATGTAACAGCAATGGCTTCATTGTTAGGAAAACTGACTCTGCGAACAATATAAATAGAAGAGAAATAAAAAATGACCTCACATCATGGAAAGAAGACATTTGGAAACATTCACTTCTCTGAAAAGTGAAGTCATTGAGGAAGTGCCTTAAACAAACATTGTTTTTAATGACCAGCAGGGGGCAAGTCCTCTGGTTGTAGACGTAAGTATGATTGGTCTGAATTCTATTAGAAGATGATCCCACTTTAAACTCTGTGTAAGAATATTTTTTATAATGAGTTTATGGTCTCAGTGGTTAGTTTGGAATCTCATTTAATCCAGATGTTGTTAATGTTGGAAACCCATTTGGTGTAAAACAGCTGAAAAAATAGGGTATGATTTAGAGTGGGTACTTCCTTATATGATACCACACTGTTTTCACTTTGACCAAAAAGAAGTTGAACTTACATAAAACGCGAGAGGAGCCGCTGTTCTTGCACACGACTATAGAGACACCAGAATTATTAAAGCTTCCCATGTGATATCACATATCACAGATCCACATTAGATCTGGTGACCCAGATCTAATGTGGCATATGACCAGCGGATACGGTGCTGGTGTGAACAAAGACTGAGTTGATATCCAGTCTGAAGGAAAAAGGCAAAATAAGAAATAAAAAAATAAAAATGAAAAATTAGAACTTCAGAAGAAACCAAATATTGTTGTGAAATTATTTCATTTAAAAACTACAGAAAAAAATACCTTTTTATTAAGTTGCAATTCCGCAGCGTTTCAGGTCAATAACACGGGACAAAAACAAAAACAACACTGTTGTATGTCCTGAGGTTATTTACATGTCATGCCTGCACTGACACGACTTTTTGCATAATAACGGGGAGCCGAACAGGCTATGGTTTGTGCATTTAATGAGAATATTATTTAAATACCAAACCAAAAAGATTCAAAACTACAATACTACTTTGAAAATCTTTCAGCATATAGAAAACATCAAGGTTTAAGAAGTGAAACTGAGCAGGGTGTAAGTTATTCTTTTCATAATGACTACCCACACAATGTTCCAGACACAGTCCAAGAAAACGTCCCAGAGAGATATAAAAGGAAACGGGGTGTGAGCACAAAAGCTGTGTGGTTCTCTGAGATTTGTCACCCTGACGTTCACACTCAAGCACTTCAGCCTCCAGTGGTTTAGCTTGCCTTCCTCAAATCTACGTACAGTCATGTGAAAAGGAAAGTTTTCAAGGATCCTACAGGTCTATGAAAAACTAAGCACACCCTTACTGCTTCCATAGGAATTAAAGCCCTGCTGATTATATGTACTTTAATTGATCATCAGGAAGCGTGACCACCTCTATAAAAGCAGAAGTTTTGGCAGTTTGTCCCAGCAAATCCCAGCAAATTCACCCAAAGGTCAGACTAGGCGACAGCTGCGTCCCGGACTCTACGGGCCCCAGTTCACATGTCAAATGTTACGTTTTACAACAGTACAATTAGAAAAAGACTGAACCAGTATGACTTGTTTGGAAGGGTTGACAGGAGTAAACATCTCTATCTAAAGGTTTGCAAAGTTGCAGCTGAACAAACCACAAATCTTCTGCAACAATGTCCTTGGATGGACACGGCGGCAGTGTAGGGTTAATAATTTGTGCTTGTTGGTCATAAAGAAGAGTGAGCTATAATTCCTCCACAATGATGCGAGAGACTGACAAATTCACCCAGAACTTGACCCTACTTCAAGTTGTTGCTAAAGGTGCTTCTGCTAGCTATTGAAGCATGAGGTGGACTTATATTTTTTCACAGGACTGCAGAGAGTCCTGTGAAAACTTTTTCAAAGTGCAGACACAATTATGTGTAAAATTATTCTTCTTTGCTCATTGGAACAAGAAGCAGAAAGACATACTGCACATGCTGAAGTCAGTGTGAATAGTGTACACAAGTAAATAAAGTTAAATGATTTAAAATAAAATAGCTCAATCCTAATGAAATGTTTCAGCTTAAAAAAAATCAGTAAACCTTTTGTCCCTTATTTTTATTGTTGAATCAATATGACTAAATGATTAAAACCACACAGACAATGAAAGGACAATGGGAGAATGTAAAAGAGACGATATGAGAAACATGATCTTTAATGTCAGATTGCAGAATATTGACAATGGATTCCACTTTTCATTTAAAAACCTTGAAAAACCCTCATTTAGCTATTTACAGTTTGCTGGATTCCTTTCTCATTTACACTATAAACAATGTATTAGCGATTTAACATTTTTCAACTGTACATCTTTGTTGCTTACTGCAGTGAATGTTATGCAAGTTATGCTTAATGTAAGCAGATTAACATTTTAAAATTCCTGCTTTTTTGAATAAATACTTTGAATGAATTCAAGCAAAAGTAAACCAAAAGAAAATCCCCCCCAGCTATTTCAGTAGTCCTCTGAAGGCTGAATTTAAGCCTTTGCTGCTTTTCATTAGCACCAGTTTAAATGTCTTAGAAACTGAACGAACATTATCAGTGATGTTTAAAGGACCAAATTGTGTTTTTGAGAACTAATTTCACCTTTCAAACCAACATCAGGTAAAGCACGAGGTCAACGTTTCATGGCGATCTCTCTCTTTTTCTCTCAGCTTGAAGAGAATTTTTCATCACAGGGACGGAGGCGTAACTGGGGTCCAGGCGGATGGCAGTCGGCCAAGTGGCGAGAGGTCATACTGAGCCGTATCATGCACTTCTGTGGCCGTGCTGTTGTCGTACATGGGAGAGCCAGAGGAGGGCACTGTTGCTGAATGAGACAGGGTGGGATAGTGGCCGCTGGACCCTCGAAGAAACTGGGAGCTCAGACAGTTGTTTATCCCCCCATTGTGGGACACCGGAGTGAGTGACGAGTTGCTCACAGACCACAGGCTGGTGTACTGACTGGACAGAGATGGACAGAAAACTTCTCATTCGTCTCTTCTTTGGATTTTTTAAAAGTGCTTCTCATTCAAATGTTCAGACATGGCATCGATAAAGTTTTTTTTTTTTTTTTTTAATGTGTTGTATTTGTTCAATGTGTTTTTTAGTTTAAATACATAAAGATCATTAAGTTTTTGCAAAGTGAAAAAGACAAAATGAAAAGCTAAATTTGAGAGAAATGAAGGAGAGCTATTCAACGTCTCTGATGATGCTACTTTTTGTATGGATTTTGTATCTAACGGTTGTTTGTGAGAACAAACAAACAATCTCAAGTCAGTGCCTCACACTCTTTAAAGCTTGTTAGAGTCAGTTTAAGTATTTTAACTTCTAATGACGTAATTCTTTTTGTACATGATCTATTTCAAAATGCATAAAAATGGACCTTTGCTACAAATAACTGATTTATAATCTAGTTTAGCTGAAATCTTTGCCTTATATCTGTGTTTTTCCTTTCTCGCCAGTATTATTAATGCACTATTTGCATCTTGTATAATTATTTGTATGTTTAAATTATCATTTTGACCAAACGTGAACCAAACTCTTGTTCCTCCTAATGCTTTACTAATACTGGACTAAAAAAGATAATAATTGAGAGAAGATTTGTGATCTTGCACATCCAAGGACTGAATTTTCATTGTCTTTTGTGATTATCCTATCATTTCTGACTAGAGTCAGAAAAATAAGCAAAAGAAAACAGCACAAACCTAGAACTGGTACCAGAGGTGGAGTTATGGGCCATGGGAATCATGCTCGAGTGTGTTGGCATCTGAAGACTGGACCAGTTATCATGGCTTGAAAGCATCGACAGACAGGTTGAAGAGTTGTCTGAGAAACTGGCTGCAACACAAAGACATCTGTGTTCAGTGGTTTTGGATATATCTGTCAAAAGTCAAATTATATATCTTTATTATAAAGTTTATCACCTTTTGTTTTGTCTGTATGTTTCAGGACTAGTCCCCCTGACAGTGACAGGGGTGAATCTCATACATCCTTGTGCAAAGCCACGCCGTTTACAGCTCTTAGGCTCCGCTCGCACAAAAGCCAAAGGAATGCAAAACATTCCCAGCTCAGTAACGTTTGTTTGAGTTTCTTGTTAATAGTTGGGGAAGGAAGTGGTGTGATTCTATAAAAAGGTAACTGGTGGAGAGAGATACTCACTGGGTGAGTTGGTCCGATGGGTATACGGGCTGGAGTAAGGGGCAGAGCGGTGGGTCCTCAGAGTTGAGTAGCGCTCGCAACCATGGGATGGCGAGAGGGAGATTGGACTCCCAAACTGGCTGTGAGGACTGGCTGAAGGGCAGAGAGGAGCTGCCCCTGGAATAAACCAGCTACCCACTGTCTCCATGAGAGGAGAAAATAAAGGAAAAGATTAGCACCACTTGCTTATTACAATGAAAAAAGAAAGAAAAAAGAAGATATACTTACACTGAGAGTAACCAGATTGCTGGTTTTCACTGGCATCTTCTCGTATGTCTTTATTATCAGTCCTGCGAGAATGAAGACTGGTTTATTTCTACTGATTGTGTTGTTTGAGAAAACCCTTTCACACGCTTTAATGCAAAATTTAAACTTCACATGTATCCTTACCTCTCCTTTGCGTCTAGAAAGGCCTTGGCAAAAGGGTTGTACTTTATTTTCAGGGCAGTTATCTAAAATCCAAATATTAAAAAAAATGCATAAATAACGTGGATATGGTTTGTTAAAATTAAACAAACAAACGAGCAAAATCAAAACCCCAAATTAAAAAACCCCGAATAAACTAAATCGTGCGCAAAAGCTGTGCGTAAATTACGCACACATTAAACTTTATTTGTATTCTATTTCTGTTAACCATATTTCTTGCTAAACTCATTTTATTCTAAAACACACAGACACACACACACACACACACACACACACACACACACACACACACACACACACACACACACACACACACACACACACACACACACAAATCGGTGCATTGCCTACCTCTTCATTTTGGTACGCCGTTACTGCAATAAACTGTGTCTCTGGGAAAGAGTGGCTGGTGATCATCCTCCGTGGGCCTCCAACCCGAACTATATGAATGCGTGGCTCATACTTGTGCAAAGAATTTAACATGATCTGGAAAAACGACAACGCAGATGTAGCTATGTTGTGTCTCTGAAACGCATTTTCATTGTGTATTTCATTTTAAAAACACGGCACGAACTTGCCTTGCACTTACCTGACCTCCTCCGTTGAGCTTATTTGTGAGTTTGACTTTACTAAACGAGACGGGAGCCTTCATCCAGTGCGCGCCGAAGTTTGGGGAGTCTGGGTGGATGTACACACAGCTGGGAGTTTGAGGTTCGGGTTTTCCACCAGGCACCCACTCTCCGTTGACGTATTTCCACCTGTGGTTGTCTGCAGACGCGAAATCCAGCAAAAAGGAATACATGGCGTTCGGGTCCAGTCCAGACACGCTCACTTTCAGCACCGGAAACATGCGCCTTAAAAAAAAAAGTCACACATTTTAAAAAACGGAAGAAACTTAGAACTGTGTTTTACATCAGTCTATCCGTCCATGCGCTCACCTGCCATTCTTTGTAACTATCATTTCATTTGTGAGGTTTTTAAACGTTTGCCACAGCTCGCTCTCATCCAAGGACACTTTCAGCTCCCTCTCCGTGGGGTCACCCTTCTCGCTCCCGGCCTGCAGCTCACTCTCCACCGCACTGAGGAGGTGATCTACCCGGTACTGAACGGCCTTGCTCGGACACTCGCCAGCGCCTGTCGCCATTCTGTCCAGTACCTCCAGGGCTGAAACACGTAGCTTACTGAAGAACCTTAAAGCTGCTCCAGAATCTCTTTCGTCTCCTTGTGCAATTGGAAAAACAACTTCTGTCCGAGGAAGCTGAACGTCACTCACAGCTCCTGCATATAAAGGCTAAAGAGAAGCTCCAGCTGAGGATGGGTGTTTGGAGGAGAGGTGGTTGGCTCATCTCCTCTTTGATCTTCGCAGACTTGTTGCAGATTGGCTGAAAGCGGCCATATCATTGAGGCCCACAGGATGACAGCGTTTTGAATAAAGCAGTTTGACCTTCTTTATTACATCAACCTGTAAACATTGACACTTTGATCCAAGCCACACCTGCAGAAAGCAAATCGCTGAGCTGGCCTTCACAAGATCCACGCTGCAGTTTGAGTAATTCTTTCACTTTTATTGTAAACTGATGGCAGTTTCTGAGCTACAGCTTGAAACCTTTTCAGTTCTGTGTTGTTGTTGGGTTTTTTTTTCAACATAAACAAATCAACAAAAAAGGAAGGAACAAAGATAAACAAATAAAATGAACAACATAGTGATCCAAACACACAGAAATTCAAATAAAAGTTCACAAATCCACATAAATTAAAAATTAATAACTCCAATTATTTTTGACTGAACTAGTCCAAGTTTCACAACTCTAAATCTCTTATGGAGAGTTTTTTTTTTCTTTGAGGAAATGTAATACACATTTTCTCAAAGAAAAAAGGTCTGAAGTGATGTTTCGTTATAGTCAAAACTTTAGTGTATATTTTGTTGTGTATGTGTATGTTTTGCTTGTGGGACAATGTCTTACTCATTCACTTTTATGACATTTATTTTTTATTATTATTTATAATGTAGAGTGCATGTGGAAAGTGTTCACAGCACTTCACTTGTTCTACAGTTTGTACAGCCTTATTCAAAACCTTCATATAATAGACCATAATGACAAACAGAAAAAAATTTGACTGAAAATCTTAAAATGTATTTAAAAAAACATGTAGCATGTAAGTATTCAACACTGTGAATGCTTTCCAAGCTGCACTGTATATAGTGTAATCATCTCAGGCACATCTTGACCTTTAGAGCCCCAGCTCACTTCTATCCAATCAAATTTAATTTAAGTGATGAATGAATGAGAGATCTAGACAAACGCACACAAAGTGCAACAACAACATCCTTGATCATTTTACTAAAACTTAAAAAAGCCGGTGAGCGTAGATGAATGTTTTTTATTAAAACAAACTGACACAAAAGTAAAGAATCTTGAATCCTGAAGAAAACAGTTCACTTTGAGAACCTTTACCTTTTGAAAAGTGAATCACTGAAGGCTCCTGTGTCACAGACCCAAGTCTCAAACTCTGCTGGCTGCATAGAAAACACTCACACATGAACATCGGTCTAAATAGTTTTTGTTTTTCATATTTGCTTTCATGCACCTGACACCCTGCTCAGGTGTTGGGGATGCGAGGGTCTGTGAGTCTGAACACTTTCCCGTTGTTTCGATAGGCTGGGCTGGCTCCCCCTCCTGCTTGGAGCCGATGCCTGGAAGGACCTACGGTAGAACAAGAAAGAAAAAACACAGTCACTGATAACTCACTAAATGAAAAAGTGATTTACATCCATTTAGTACAGCAGTGTCACCCTCACAAATAACTACTATATACTGCCGTTGCCATGGTGGCATCCAAGAAATAACAAATAAGATAAAAACAAATGATAAAAGCAGATAGTTTGTGGCACCCACGTGTTAGCTTCCAGTATAGCTCTGTGGTGTTGTGTTGCGGTTGGCTTGTGTTACTAACCAAATCTTGGGCGCCTCATTCCTCCTGCCAGCACAGTGAGTCTGACTCTGTGTCCAGCAGTCTGGACCAGAGTTCACAGCAAGCAGAGAAAAACAAATCCCACTCAGGTTAAAGAGAAGCTGAAAGACTCCTTCAGATTGTGTCGCCTCAATGAATATGAATGTTACTAAAAAACAAAAAAGATCTCACAGACAAAGGTTAAACTTTCCATGTCACTTACCAACTTTTATGTGGAAACCATGTTGGTTAAAGAAAGGGTGTATCTTTGCCTCAGAAGACTGACGTAAATATCTGCTTTCCTGCTCTTCTCAGGGATCTCAGGGATTGTCTGTTTAATAGAAAAGTTGAAGACGCAGCATTAAATTCTAATCAAGTCAATCAGCTCGGTCTGGAAGGTCCTCATAAAGTCAAGCTTCTGGCTGTGAATGTGGTCTCTTTTATCTACAAGTGCAGAGCATTTCATTCAGTTATAACTTCCTTTTCTATTAGTTATTTAGTCATTTAAAAAGAGGAACCCCTTTGTATATTAGCCGAGGTAGAAATGGTTTAAAAGTCAGAGGTGTCATTTCCCACAGTCCTAGTGTCCCATTTGGCGCCTGTCTCTTCTCCTCCAACACCCCACCTGGTGCTAACTGTCACACCAGGCCATTTCCTGGTGTGGGTCAGCAGGACTGTGAATTAACATTGATCTCTATTGCGCTTTAGATCCCCTCCCAGACCACCCCACCCCCCCCCCCCCCCCCCCCTCAATCCTCAAAGGATGAAATGCAGGTGCAATTCAAGCAAACCTGAGAAAAAAGATTTAAACTTGTATTGTCTCAGCTTTGAATCTCGAGAAAAAAAGAGAAGCGTTTCGCATATTTTAACCTATTTGCTTATCGTATAATAAGCTGTTCACTGGCTTTTTGATTTCATTTTCTCGCCATCATTGGCACAACTCGTGAAAATCAACTGAGAGATGATCAACCTCAATATCTGTTTGAACTGCACTTTTGAATGTTTTTCATTATAGAAATTTCTTCTGCTCAAAAATGACTTCAGGGCTGTACATATATTCTTCATTTTGGTTTGTTGATTAGGTTAGCTGACTTCTGTATTAAGATAGACAGAAGCAATGGAACTTTCCAACTGTGAAAAACACACTATAGAGTCTAATGCTGCCATAAATAGTCATAGTTGCCGTGTCCTCCTCCCCTCACACCCAGCTGATTGTGGCAGATGGCCGCCCCTCCCTGAGCCTGAGTTTTCTTCCTGTTAAAAGAGAGTTTTTCCTTCCCACTGTTGCCAAACCACTTACTCACTAGGGGTCATATAATTGTTGGGGTTTTCTCAGTCTTCTTTGTAGGTTCTTCCACCTTATAATATAAAGTGTTTTGAGGGAACTGTTGTTATTAATTAGCACTTTGAAATGAACTGAATATAAGCTTTGTATGCTTTATGTAGACACGTGTGATAAGGATGAAATGTATTCAGATAAAAAAATAAAAAATAAAACATAAAGTACCTAATGATTATCATGGAGAGGGAGGTTTTTGGAGAGTAAATTAATTGTTTTAGTCAATATGTAAAACACATTTATACACCAGTACTTCCAGTGCAGGGCTTCAGTTAAAGCACTGGCAGCCTGTGGATGTCTATAGGGTGGGGAGTTTTCTCCAGAGCTAGTGGATCTAAGATTTCAGCACTGAGGCGACCTTAACGCTCCCACATGCCTCCTGGCTTTGACCAGTCACTGTTTGCCTTCTCTTGCTTTCCCTCCAGTCAGGCTCATCCTCTGTTTGCTTAGGCCCACTTTGACACAGAGGTGAGAGAAAAAATGAATCCTGCATGCTTGTCCATATATGCTCATCTCAGCACTTGAGCATAACCTCTTCTCTGGTTTTCTCACTTTTTTGAGTCTCTTCACCATCCTCCGCCACCGTTCCCTTACATTACTGTAAATATTTTAAATAATGCTCTCTATCCTTAATAATAACTGTTAGGATACTATTTATAAAGTTTTCTAAATTTAATATTGGATCAGGAAACTTCAACAAGTCTATGGGTAAATGCGGCTTTTCCTTGGCACATTTCTTTCTAATTTTAAAGGAAACAGTTGCATTTTGGGAAATAACACTTTTTTCAATTTTATCAAGTACTTGAGGTCAGGCCATAAAATATATAGCTGGTAGGTAGTTTCAGCCGCTCCCTTATTTTCCAAGGAGTCACCACAGCAGATCTGCTTGTTTGATGTGGCACAGATGATACACTGCACATCCATCCTGATGTAACCCTCCCAATAATCCGGGCTGGAGATGGACACTCGGCTTGTCCCCCCCAATCGCTGGGTTTGTGTCTCGTCACAGTCTAAAGCCAGAAAGCTTTTGCTTTTTGTGTTAACCACCACACCACAGAGCCACCGCATTTAGCATGAAGCAATGGCAAGGAAATGTGATGAAGACTAAAAACTTCTCCCTGACAAATGCTTTTAAATTGATGTTCATATACGCATATGAACATTTTTATAACCAACAGAGTGATTCAGGAATCTTTCCGCTTCTATCGAGTTGTTTCGGCCTGTCTGTTTGAAGTAACTGTTAGACGCACACAGAGCTGCCTCTTATCTTCTTCTCTGTTTTGTCCTTATTCCAGCATGTAAGTATAACCGCATGACAATGTCCGAAATAGACTAAAATTCAATTTAATTCCAGAGGAATTATATATTAAAGTGCTTTCATCTGTGCAAAAGAAAAGTGTAAAAATTATGAATTGTAGTTTTTCCATCATGCTCAGTTTGCCAGACAGCCCCAAATAAGACTAAAAATGCACATTTAGACCTTTTCTGGTATAGAAACAGCGTTTACGCTATAGTTTGGGACAGGCTGATGTATAGCACATATGCTAATCAGCTGATTGCTCTCAGTAGAGTTATATTTGTTGTTGAGTGCTAAAGTGCTAAAAGTCTTCTTACTGAAGTTTTTGCAAACATTTTTCAAAATGCACTGTAAACTATCTTACTTGATAAACCTGTGATGTTATTTATAATTATTGGAGGAAAGACAAATGCATGTAGCATGTTATACTGGGTGTATGTTGTCAGTGTGGGCCTATGCATGTGTGCCTGACGATGCAGTCAGGGATCATTGCCACAGGTGTGTTTACCTCTCATTGTCCTTTTTAAGTGGAATTACTGCCCCTGTGGTTTTCACA